CTGTCCCTGTCTGTGTCCCTGTCCGTGTCCCTGTCCGTGTCCGTGTTCGTGTCCATGTCCCTGTCCCTGTCCCTGTCCGTGTCCCTGTCCCTGCCCCTGTCCCTGTCCGTGTCCCTGTCTGTGTCCCTGCCCCTGTCCCTGTCCGTGTCCCTGTCCCTTTCCCCATCCCTGTCACTGTCCCTGTCCCTGTCCCCGGCCGCGCTGAGCCGGCAGCAGCCCACGGGAGGAACTGCATTAATAACAGCGCTCCGATTAGACTGCACAGGGATTTCGATAGAAGTGGTAATGATTATGGACTCCGAATTTCTTAATTCCAGATATTTTCTTTGTAAAAATAGGACCCTTCAAAACGTTGAGAATGAAATCAGTATTTTGAATGCATGCCGATAGTCAGTGAAAATCCATTGCAAACTTCTGGCTGGCTTTTTTTTCCCCTTAAAATTCTCTTTTTCCATGTAGTAGCTGGACTCTCATTTCTGGTGTGTGGTGGAGCAAACAGCTACAATTAGGTGGTCACTAATGCTCACTTGATTGATACCTGCAAGTCCATTTTGCCCATTTCTTTTGTGTCCTGGATGAGGAGCATGCTTGCCAATGGCTGTGCCTCCATTTGCCTTCTTTGGCACATTGGTCAGCTCTATGTGTTCCGATGTGCACAGTAAAGCAGTTCAGAYTCTGTCCACTGCAAAGCTACCTGTCAGGTAGTTCTCTGTCCTCCAAACTGTTCTCTGCCAATATTCCAAACCAGGCAATTCAATGAAAACTGTCTCATGCTGATAATCATCCTTGCCTGTACCACATTATTCTACCAAGACTATGGCAAAGTTTGTCCATGTTCTGCTTGGGATAAATTATCAGTGCAGTGGCCATTCAGAGTGTTATGATTAGAATAATGATTCCATAAAGCMGGAAGAGTTTAGCTCTGTCTCATTGGAAATTTTGCTGCTGTACAGAAATGAGAGTGCATTCATGAGGATTAGCCAGGTGTGAAAAATGTTCTGGTATGTCTTACATTACCTTTTCTGTAAAATTCCTGTGTAACTACCTTTTGAATTTTCCTCATAACGTTTGTGATTTAGAAAAYTGTCAGAGTCCAAAGAAAAATTTTGTTCAAAGCACAAACTTTGAGGGTGCTTTTCTGTCTGAAGAAATGCATTGYAATTCTATGCAGTGTAAAAACTAACGCCTACAGTGTCATTTATTCTGAGAAAGCATGTTTTTCACATAATAGACAAGGTGAAGAAGAATTTAAAAGAAAGTATTCCCAGTGACACATTCCCAAAGAAATACTGATTAAAAGCCTAACTTACATAATTGGTATTATTTATTCTCTTCACTAGTACTTACTTTAATGACTTTAGAAAGTTTTAACTGAATGTTTACAAAAGGATGTCAAATGATCTTACTGAGAAATTTTTCGATCTCTTCTAGGGTATTCCTGGTACGTGATAGCCAAAGTAACCCCAAAACATTTGTATTGTCACTGAGTCATGGATTAAAAATAAAACATTTTCAAATTGTACCAGTAAGTAAGTTTTTTCAGTTTATATATGGAGTTGTAAAACCAAACAGTTGAATGACTGTTATAGAATATGAATGGATTTTTTTCTTCTTTTGCTGTTTTATGGAAGATGTGAACATCATACCTGTATCACTAAATATAATTAGGATTCTTTAGCAGACTTGGACATTTTTGAGCTTTGCTGTTTGGTTTGTTCTAAAGCTTGACTAGTATTATGAAATCCTAAAAGGTTTCTTGAAAAACTAAACAAATCTATTTCAACTGGAATAGAAGCAGCCTTGATGGCATGAAAATAATGTACTAATAGAGTTCATGTTCCCTTTTATCTTTTCAGTATATGCACAATTCTTAGTCATCTGTTTTRGACTGCTTATGACATGTCTACATATCTCACTCTTCTGTTCAGSATAGTTTCAGTGTGTATAGTCAAACATATTTTATTGACCTCTCTTCTTGTTACTGTGGTATATTCATGTTCAGGTCTCCTTCAGGGGGACAAAAAAATCCTTATTTAGTCCAGCTGCTTTATAGGTAAGCTGAAATTTCCTAAGCTGAAATCATATTTCTGTTAATTTTCATTGAACATGCTATCCAGTTCTCTGCCAGAATGGTCAGCCATCCCCATTGCTTCCACTCTTTCACTCTGTCAGAGGCTTATGTGGGTCTCTTTACTTCTCCTTCTCTTGAGATGAGAAACACTAGAACATTATTTGTTTCAGCAACAGAAACTTAACATAACTGAGCAGACCCAGAGCTTTTTCATCTCTCTTCACAAGAATCTTTCTTCCAGACCACATCATACTCTAGCTCATTGTATCTTCCTGCTGAATTTCTAGCAGATTCTGCTGTTTCTCAGTAGAAATTGGTCAAGTGGCCCTTTTTTTTTTGTTTTTGATCTGTTCATTCTCTATGATCATTCACCAAATTTCTATATAACTAACTACAGCTTGCAGCTGATATCCTCCCCTAAAAGGTGTTCATGTATAATAAAACTGAAGCATTATTTGAGAGGGGGAAAGAAGTGGGTCAGTGTTAGCTAAAAACATTGCCCAGGATTTTGTTGTGTTTAGGTACAGACAATGGAGGAGTCCTTCATCCAAAAATGATATCTGTGCCCTGGATCCCATGTGAATACCAACATATGATCTGTGATAGGAACCCCAGGTGTAAGATTCTCTATGCATCCATTGACTGTAGTCACTTCTAATATTTCCTTTGGTATAAGTGTTGTGTGGTTTAGAAAACCTTCTGAATGCCATATAAGGAGTGTACAAGTCTWCTTCATTGGGATGTCCTACAGCTCTCAAATTTAAGAGACCACTTTTTCTTCCTCTTTMTTCCTTCAGGAAGCAGACCCTCTCTTCTCTAACTGCAGTTATCTTCAGTTTCCTCTGAGATGGATGATTCTCTTCTTTACTTCAAAAGACTGTGCTAAAACCTTGCTCTCCTGTTGTGGGATCTTGGGAGGAACCAGGAATTCTTTGTTTTTAAATAATTGTSTACAGACTTGGGTTACATTTTGTATGCTCTTCGTTTAGAAGACCTGTACCACCTCACAGTGAAACTTGATTTACTTGAAGGAAATGCTTTTGATTTTTTTTTTTAAGTAAAACAATTTCTCCTAGTAACCAGGAAAAAAAAAAAAATCTGTGATGAGAACAGCTTAATCCAGAGAGAGTATGTCAGTATGGAAGCTGTTGGTCTGCCAAATATTGGCATAKTTCAGTTCCTTTCTGTCAGTTTCTGGTTGCATTCAGTACCCTCATGCCATTCTCAATACCYTGTTTTTGCTAGAACAGTGCTCTTTAAAGAGTTCAGAAAATGGTTGTGTGAGGGAGGRAGGGTTTTGGTTCCAGTTGCTGCTGATCTAAATGAGGTGATCATTTTTGAAGAAACAAGGCATTTTGTATTACTGTAGTAAATTCATATCTTCCTAGTTGGAGACCAGAGTTACATGTTTGAATTTCGAATTCTACTGTTCTTCTAAACTCTTACCTGTTTCTAGCCATTGAAAGGGCAAACTTTCCTTCTTAAATGTAAATAAATACATGTCATTTGGAAAGCATTTTACAAGGAAAAAACAATTCAATCTCTAAAGGAATTATTTTTCTCTGGTGTTTTAGGTGGCTTCAGGTTATACTGCAGTTAAAAATGTCTCCTTTTAGACAGGGTATGTAGCCTGCTAGTTCAAGCTTCACCCATGTTAACAGGTRCCTCGTGCTAACACTGGTAATCTGTGCTTCAGGTATTGCAAGTGTGTAGTAGGGAATTGATTGTAAAAAGTTCAAAAGGAAACCTTTGGGATACATTTGGGATCCTGTACTGTGAAAATAGGAGAGCTTTTTAGTTTAAAGGTGTTTTCCAGCCTTAATACTCTGAGCTGATACAAGTTCACTTTAGTTTGTTATATCCTGAAATTTCGTCCACATGGAAGATGAAGTTCTGGGACTGAAGGTACACAGTTCTGGGACTGTCTTTTTCTCATAAATGTTCTTTCATAACAGCCTTGGCTTGCAGGAGTTGTTGGGTTCTTGGGTAACAGAACTTTGACAAGARTTTTTACTTTGCAAAATATTGATAGCTTTAGAATTAGCAATCTGTCTGATATTCATTTAAAGGTTTAGAATTAACTTGTTAGGAGGATAACAGACATTTGAATTGTTAACTCTCCCTTGTCTGCAGTGTGTTGGCAGGAAAATTGCATACATRAAGGAAGTTCAATGAATTATAATCCGTTTTCAGGTTCTTGGCTGGAGCACARGAATTTACACATTCACACACTGGTAATTCCTTAACTAGCAGTGTTGACCAAAGTCTGAGAACAAAGAAATTACAAACTGCTTCCAGACATTGTAGAAAGGGGTAGAATAACCAGGAGTCATAAGCAGTTCAACAGCTGCTTCAGATAAAACATCTCAATTAAAGGTAAGACAGCTAATCATACCTTCTCCCTGCCCCTGTATTCAAGTAGGGTAGTTGCATCCTTCCCTAGCACACCATCTGCTACTCCGTGCTAGCCCTACTTCAAGATCTTCTGTTCACTACTCTTTCAATCATGTAAAGTACCTTTTCTCCCTCTTCTTTTTAAACACAGTTTAAGYAAGTTTTTTTCTATATTTACATGAATACCAATTAGTCACTATTGCACTAATCCTCTTGATATTAGACATAGCAGCAGTAGAGGAATTAAATCAAGAAATTATATAGTCAGTAGGGCAAAATGAATTGTTCAAGAGATAACATTCAGTAACTTAGAAGAGGGAAATAGTGCAAATTTTTAAGCATCTAAAAATCAAAAGGAATCTTTCAAGGTATCTTTTGAAGTTTCTCCTTTCTCTTCTGCATCTGTGCTAATAGGTGTGTTTGGAGCTGCAGCAATTCTTCCTCCGAAAGCAAAGAACATCCTACTAGAGCAAGCATGTTACTCTTGTGATGGGCAGTGTCTTGTGTAGCTAATAGCACCCAGCACACCACTGCACTGGTGTGTAGCCTCATCACACCTTACAGAAGTTGAAATCTTTGAGTAACTTCAAACTTGGTTGTTTCCTGTCCTCTGTAAGAACTCAGGGTTCATATTAACTTCAGCTATCATTCCAAAGCAAAGGCATGAAGTAGTATTCTTAATGCAGATAGAATCTTCCTATACTTATTTAACTGTTCTTCCCTTTTAGGTGTGTACTTGAACTTAAAGAATACATTGTTTTTCTGTTGTTGATTTTTCATGTTGGTATGAATGATCATTGTATTCTTCCTGCTTAAAGTAGTCATAAGATTATGAATATATTGGTCTACAAKAACATTTCTCAAAAAAATATTCCAGTCAGAAAGAAATACCATAGCAAAAGAGAATTTTATTCAATCTTGTTTTTCCATTTTTACAGTTGGAAGATGATGGGAAGCTGTTCTATACCCTTGATGATGGYCATACCAGATTTACTGATCTCATCCAGCTAGTGGAATTCTACCARCTTAATAAAGGAGTACTGCCTTGCAAGTTAAAACACTATTGTGCACGAATTGCTCTTTAACCAAAGCATTTGTTGTTTCATCAGAGGGAGAGGAAGATAATAGTATGCTTTTTCCCCTAAAGGCAATTTGCATAGTAAAGAGGGGGAAACAAAACCCATTACATTGTAAAGATTCTATGTTTAAGCTGCAAAAAAAAAAAAAAATTTATATTCTATGTAGATAAGAACTTTGCTTTGTGATTGTCACAGCAAAATTGATTTTATGGTTTGGAAAAAATGTTATTTCCAATGTAATTCTTTAGTGTTGTCTTGGACTTTTTTGAGTTTTTTTTCAACTGAAAACAGTTTTGAAACATATTGTGTAACTCCTAAAAAATATAACTGAAGGAAGATCTTTGTTCTTAGGTTTAAACTTTTTTCTCTATAAATGTTTCTCATAATTTCTGTTCATCACATAAAAGAATAACATTTACTGTGGAGAGGATAAGAAGTTGAACTGCACATTTTATTTATAAATAAAATGAATAAATATTTTGCACTATATTTTTGAATGCTACTTTGAGGATTATCATATCCAAAAAGTGAAAAATCATTAAAACCACTTATAACTGCTCAGTTGTATTGAGTTGTGCTATTCTTCTTGTAATATTTTAAAGGATTTTTTTCCTCTAATCTAATTACTAAATCTACATCTTTATGCAGGGGGCTGGAGTGTCACTTGMTTGGCTGTGAAATGTATAAACATGCATAAATTATTATGTAGTGCGTAATGTGGTTTACTGTATACCTATAAACTCTGACACAAAGAGAGRCAGAAAGACCTGTTAAGTACATGGMTCTTTGTGCAGTTGAGGAGGGAATCMATTTCAATTGCCCTTAAAAAATAAAGGTAATGTTATAATAGCTGCAAATTGCCAATAATTTACAATACTAACAAATAAAGATAAATACAGTGGACTTTGCTGAAAACCTCATGAAAGTGTATTTGCAGTCAGCTTATTTTATTATTTATCACAAAATAAAAGTGTCAGTGTAGCTACCAGTCAAGCAGTGTTTACAGATTACCAAGTATCTAATGTTCCAGCTGCTGTGACAGTAGGCCAAGTCACATTTTGGACCACAGCATTAGAAATAATTTTGGTATTTGTGTTTTGAAAGAGAGTTGATACTGTCACATCCTTGAACAAAAACTCGAGTGGAATGGGACTTGGACTGAAAGAGGCATCCCTGTCCTGATGCTTTGCTCTCCAAGAGGTTTTTATGAGGGTTCAGGACATTGCCCTGGATATCTTTACATAGGGTAAAGGCTRGAATAAAAGTGATGTTTGAAGATGGGCCATCACATTAACTCCAGCTCCCCCTTCTTGTGCTTGCTTGGGTTCCGTGGCTGTCAGGCATAGCAGCTGCTCTTCTGTAGGAGTTGGTGAAGGAGGCCTGGGCGAGGGATGGAGAAAGTGAGCCCCGAGGCACAGCAGTGGCAGGAGGTGTCAGCTGCCAAGGTCGTGTGGATGGAAGCATTAGAGCAGTGTGGTAACTGCAGCCTATGGTTTTGTTATTGTGCATCTCTGGAAGGCAGGCATAAYAACATAATACTGTGATACTTCATTTACCGACCTGATCCGCACATCCCTGACCTTTTCCTCTGGTATGCAAATGCAGTTTTTAAAGCTCATTAAAAAAGCAACTCTTCCTAATGTGTACCAAAGATGCAACATATGTGATGCTGCTGAAGCTCATTAYATAAGGAAAGCCTTTTAAAACTCTTTACAGTCTAATAAATGTAACTCTTAAACYTCAAGCATAATTTCAAATTGTACTTAAAAAAATTAAAACCTCTTCAGGTTTGGTTTAATAATGTGATTATGTCTCAGGTAATTTTATTTCAGATATTGGTGTAGAATGAGGAGAAACATTCTCTGTATCCCCTTTTTTATAGTCATCTCTTGACAAATGTGTTGTCTATTGTAGTCCATTTCTACYTGGACAGGTGAAAGCTTTTCTGTAATTTTATTTGTATTTGTGTATGTGTGCTTCACAGAGAAGCCAACTGCTCATTGAGTGAGTACCTGTCATCTTTGGACTGATCAGAAAAGCAGAGTGTAGGGATTGTCACATGGTGGAGAGACATCAACCATCAAGAAACTTTGCCTGTTTTTTCAGTTTTTGTTTCACAAGTGAAATTGAAAAAACCCCAGAAAATAAAACTAAACCAGAATAATAATTAAAAAAACCCAAATAAAATGAAGTATTGCTTAATGAACATGGGATTTGGATATTTGAAAATTTTTAACGGTCAAGAATTCAAAACTTTTTTACACTGTAAAGCATTTCCTCCTGCATTTTGACATCTCTCTTAATTAAAATCTAAACTGAAATCTTGCTGAGAATACCTAATCTCTTTTATATGAATGTGCATATCTTTCCTGAATTCTGTGGGTTTTTGTGACTATGYCAGAAAAAAAMCCCAGTAAAAYGAATAAAATCTAGTTTGRTGATTAAATGACTTCACAGACTACCTCCTTGTTTGAGTATTACTGAAGAAACAAACATGAAGGATGTAAAAGCAAAGAACCAAACACCAACACTCAAAAATCAAATGTTCTGATATCCCAGACTACTTCCAGATGTACTAAAAGGTACAAGTGGTTGATATGTGAGTTTCAAGATCCTTRCTAGTAGCCAGTCAGAAAAAAACAGCAGGGAATTTCTACGAGATGGCCCAGGCAGGATATGTCTGACCAAAAAGTTCTTTGGGGGTGTAGGCAATGCTATTTAAACAAAATTTCAGTGTGTTAACTGTCACTTCTAATTACGAATACTACACTTTGGTGCCCACCTTCACAAAGAAAGTTGGCTAATCAGGAGCTGTTAACAGCTCAGGAAGAAATCAGTACTATTTTGGGCAAGCCAGTCTATCCATCTCCAACATTTGCTTCTCTGCAAAATGTGGAGTGTTATATCTGTCTCACGGAGTGTTTAAGGACTTATTTAAAAAAAACCAAAAACCTGAACAATAGAAACAGGTGTTATTTGCAGGTGGGTTTTATTTTATTTTATTTTATTTTTTTTAATACTGAAAGAAATTGTGTTTTTACCTTTACGTGATGCAGTCAGTGCTAAAACAGCTAGGTCTGACGATAGTCTGAAAAACTCTTCATGCTTTCTTCAGATTYAAAATTTTGTGCTTCTGTGAGTCTTTATGTATAGTGCACTGCCAGGAAAAGAGAACTGAGCTTGCCATGCCGAGGTAGCAGAAGCAGCACAAGTGCACAAGCCTAGCTTGCTATCTGGGGTAATTAGCCCTGCAGGGGTATGCTCTGTGAGATGTGAGCTAGTGCAGAGATTGTGCTAAAGCTCAGCATTGTATTTGTTGGCATGCCCTTTGTGCCTTAGTTTCCAATCTTAAAATCTTCTTGGCTCAGAGGAGATTAAAAGTTAATTCACTGCTGTTTCATAACGCATATACATACACGGCCCGAATTAAGGTTGCACGGGCAGCATTAAATGACATTTTTAAACTTCTGAGTGTTTTTACTTAACAATCTTATTAAGTCACTTAATGAATTTTTTGAAATGTGAGTCTTCGAGTCATCCAACTAAATGTTTTGAAAGAGAGCTTTAACCCATTAAATAAAAGAGGATTATATATGTAACTAACTAKAAGTGGGATCTTTCAAGGATAATTGAATTTCTGTCAAATGTTGTCTGTTAYATCTTGGTTTAAGAATTGTAGCATTTTGTGCTTCCCTGGGCGTAGAATTATTCTATAGTGTTGGGCTTGGGGCATTTCAATTTAAKTTAAATAAATAAGTTAAGCTTATTTCAAGAGAATAGCCCTTTTTTTGTTGTTACGATGTTTAAAAGCTACTCATCTTCATCTTAACAGAAGCCACTCAATGACCAATTAGTTTTAACAATTTAAACCTATTTATTAGCTGTGTCTTGCAGAATCAGTATAGCATTTGTCTATAAGAAATCTTGCACGTTTTTTGTTACCTTTATTAGTTTATAAAAATACAAAGCAATTTACAGATTACATCACCGTATCTGTTTAATTAGAAAAGAAAATTATTTTTATTACTGTTCTGATATTTCAAACTACTATTCTAGTACTCACACTGTAATGCATTCCATTTCTAATTTCAACTTCGTAGCTGAAATCATCGAAGATGGGACATACCCCATTACTTGAATATACTTGCAAGCTTTCAGAGGTTAAACACTTATGGTCTATGCATAATCAATGTGTATGGTAGTGCAATTAATGTTAACTTTAATGAAATGCATGAATATTTAAAACTTAATGAATCTGACTTTACAGCACGCTTTACAGCCTGGCTCACATATGTGAACAGTATTGACTGTTGGCCTCTGGATGTCAGCAGTGTATCACGAAATTCCTGTAATCAGCCGCTGTTTTCATGCTTCCTCCCAGAAATATCTGTGACTTGTGGTCTCTGCACACCTCCAGAACACCCAGTGCTTTTTCCTCTTATAAATTATTCACTTACTCTGTACCAATTAGTTCTACCAGTTGCTAGGTTTGTTATCAAGTTAAGCTTCAAGACAAGAACCTGAACTCAATGAGTGATTAAAAATTTATCAGCAGAGATGATTAAATATGCAGATAGTCTGTGAAGCTTGTTCTTGAAACCATTATATTACCTTTTTAATACTAATGATTTGTATAATTAATTTTATAAAAGCCTGAAAGTCTTTWAAAAAAATTCAGAGTAGGACATAAAAGGGAAGAGATTAAATGCAGAGGAGGCAATGAACCTGAGCATTAAAACAGCTCATTCACATGTATAGGCAATAAAGWGATTTCCTTACAGGAATAGTTTGTGGTTTTTCTTCCCCTCTGCTAAGTTGATTATTTTATTAATCTTTTAAGCAATTTGGGAAAACTCTTACCAACTAGTGAGTCATATTTTCAAAATAGAACTTGATGTGATTAACACTGATAATACTGATGATTCCCCTAAACTTTACAATTAAAACTCTATGGAGATGCAGTTTCTACAACATTTAAGCGCATGCTGGATTTGGGCATGTGAGGAGCCCCAGGGCTGGCATGTTTGGGAAGGTACAGGTGCASTGAATGCCGCAGGATGATGCCCCTGGCAGCGTGGCCAGCGCCAGGGGAAGGTTCTGAGGGAGGGGCTGCCCTCGCCCCCTGCTCCTGAGGGGTGGAGGGAGGTGAGCAGGGCCCCTCATGGCAGCCAGGCCTCTTTGGGGCCAGGCTTCTTGCCGTCCGTGCTCCTGAGGGAAGCGAGGCCTTGAGGAACTAGCTATGGTGGCGGGGAGTGCAGGCGGTGCTGCCTGCCAAGGGCGCTGGCATGGTGCAGCTTTTGGCATCTGCTGCTGCGGCAGTGGGGTGTGAGTTGGTTTGTAGCCCCTCGCGAGAGGGCTCRGAGGTGATGAGACCTGGCCATGTGCTGGGAGCCGAAGTGGGCCACGGTGTGAGGGAGGCTTGGGGATGTGGCTGCCATCCCAGCGGGGCAGGCAGTGCTCCCCAGGGGAACACCTCAGTGCCCTGCAGCAGGGAGAGCCCAAGCTCTCTGTTCTTGCCCTCTCCTTCCAGCTCTGCCTCACGGAGCACCCCAAGGACCATGGCTGATGGCCCCAGGCACAGCACAGGAGAGAGTTGCTGTAGAGGAGGCCTGAAGGAAGGTGAGTGTCTGCCCCTGCTTCTCCTGGGAGCCCTGGACAAGATGGGGTTTGAGCTGCCCAGGAGCTGCTATGGTGCCCTTTGCCTCCTGAAAAAGCAGCTGTTGCCCCTCAGGTGATGCTGATGAGATCCACCAGCAGGAAGTGGTTAGAGTTAATTAGTAGCCCTTAATAAATAACTGCAGTCGGGGCTTGAGGAGGAGTYTGCTGGAGGGAGTCTGCTGGGAGGAGTCTGCTGGGAGGAGTTGTGTGTTGTGATTGGTGTGAATAGTAAGTAAGACCATTTTTCTATTTTTTAAGATGGGGGCTTTGAGGTGGGGCAGGAAAATGGAGTTTGCCATGCATGTGTTGTGGTGCTTCTTTTTGTTTTCTTTTTATAAATTTATATGAATTTATGTAWATTCCTTTCTATAAAGTCTGTTTATTCTCAAGCCCTAAGCTCTGTGCGGTAGTATTTAGGCCTTAGCTCCATAAAGTGCAGTGTATGTTTCTGGCCTTGGCTGTGGAAGGCATCAGGACTGTAGTACAGCCTTTACTAGTGTGTGACCCAGCAACAGTATTTGTATTGCCACCCCCACTAAGTTGCCTGGCTAGGGGCTCACTGGGGAGCTAAGTCTAAGTTAAAATTGTTGTTTTTTGCGTGACATGGAAGGCATATCTCTTTGATGGTGAGAAATTAAGACTGTGACCTGGGAACTTCCTTAGCAGAACAGTCTTGGGAAGCATTTCTCCAGTGCTCTTGGAGACAAGTTCATTCAGATTACAACTKTTCTTGCTCTTTTCTTCTTGCTGTGAGCTAACTCAAAACACCACTTTTGACAAAGATACTTCACCTTCCCCTTCCACTATACCAGTCACCTKCTTGGGGACAGGGAAGGAGTACAGGAAAAAGAATAAGCTAGAGTACGAGTATCAATAACAAAGAAGTTGAGAACATGTTGACTGAGGTGTTTCCTGCTTTTGTTCTTGCGGCTCAAGCTGAACAAAGAATGAGTCCTTAGTCTCCCATTCCTGAATATGGCTCAGAGTGATATGTGGTCTGTGAGGTCATAAATTTTGACTGGTTTTAAATGTCRGTAAAAGCCTTCTAAAATGAAAAAAAATCCTTGAATGGAGGGAAATTAAATATATAATTTCGAATCCCTTTACAGTGATAGAGAATGCAGGTGGGAGAAAAAACACATGAAGCTTTCACAGGTTGGTGGGGGTATTTTTGTTTAATTTATAGTTTGATGTGGTATTTTTTTTTTGAAAAAAGCATTTTCTGCTAAATATTGTGGAACTCTGCAATTGCCAAATCTGCAGCCTATGCTAAATGTTTAAGTTCTGGGAAATAACTCATGGAAAAATATCTTCTGATGATGGATGTGAGGTCAACTATGCAAACTAAAATATTTTTTCCTCAGTTACATGGTATAGGGCTGTGGTGCTCAGACCATATGCATAGCTAGTTATTTTTAGGCATTTAAGGAGAATGTAAAGGAGGTGATATGTGTAGGAGGGTGGAAGAGTACTGAGAGAATTTTAAGAGATGCTAACACTTGTAACAACAATAGATGTGCTATTGGAGTGATTTTTCCTAACCTGTACACATCACGTCTGGAGGGGTTTGCTTCTGTACTGAACAATTAATGAAGTCCTCATTTCTGAATTGATGCATGYACTTCTTTGTGTCCTGTGCATAATGCTATGGATTTCAGTATACTTAAGATAATGTGTGTAAGTGTTGGCAGGATCAGAGGCAAAGATGTCAAAAATAACTTGGAGGGC